CATTTCATTTCGAGGGATCTCCACTCGCCAAGATTTTATTATGGTGCCGACCTCAGTTCTGATTTTGATGTTTTCCTCACCACATCCACCTGCCACTGTTAAGGCGGGTTATTTGAATTGTAAGGTATGGTCCTATTTTCCCAACCCTCTCCGATGTTTTCAATGCCAGCGGTTCGGTCACTCAATAACATCTTGTCATGGTTCTGTGACATGTGCTTGTTGTGGTGGCAAGGACCACAATGCCTACGAGTGCAAACTGGACTCTCACTGTGTTAATTGTAGTGGTTCCCATCCCCCTTACTTTAGGTCTTGCCCTAAGTGGGTGGAGGAAAAAAAGGTACAGCGTTTGAAGACTATTAATAACATCTTTTATCCTGAGGCTCAGAAGCTATTGTTTCCTGCACCATCCTGGACATATGCCACTGCATTATGCTCCACTGCTACAGTGGAAGTGCAGCCAGACCTTTCCGTGCCTCCATCTAAGTCTTTTTCATGCCATGTCTTCTGCCCTTCATGGATATTAGAGTTGATAGGTCTATATCTATTCCAATCTCTGCCCCCACTATTCCTTCCAGTGACTGCCTGGGTCAACGTCCTCGGGCACCTCTTCATTCTAGTCTCGATGACATTAATGCCTTGATTGACTCCTATCATCTCGTGTGTCTCTACTTACAGGAAACATTTCTGAAACCTGCTGATACAGGCAGTTTTCTTTGTACCGGAATGACAGGTTGTGTGATGGACGGGTGCACGGAGGGGTGGCACTGCTGGTCGGCTAGCATGTGCCCTCCTTATCTGTGTCCCTCGATACACCCTTAGAGGCCGTAGCCATCTGTGTTTCCTTGGGTTGTGCCATCACTGTTTGTTCTGTCTCCTGGGGAGACTTATGATCAATCGGAACTTGATGCTCTCGTTGACCAGTTTCCATCTCCCTTTTTACTTCTGGGAGACTTTAATGGACACAACCCCCTCTGGGGTGGTGCTGATATTGATGGGAGGGGTCATTCCTTAGAGTGTATGCTCTCGGATCACGACCTTTCTCTCTTCAATACTGGAACATATACTTATTTTCATGCACCTTGTCAGTCTTTTACTGCTATTGATCTCTCAATTTGCTCCCCCTTCACTTTTCACTCGCTTTTCTTGGATGGTCGACAGTGACCCACGGGGCAGTGATCATTTTCCTATCATTATGAGGGAGGTTGGTCATGGTCGATGCCACCCGACCCGAGTGCCATGGTGGAAGTTGGACCAGGCTGAATGGCTGTCTTTCACCTCTTTCTCTGAATTTGATCCTGCCTTTGTCTGTCTGCCATCAATAGACAATTGTGTGCTTGCAGTGACTGACTGTATCGTCCAGGCAGCTGCTCATTTTAACCCTAAGACCTCGACACGTTTTCCACAGTATCCTCGTCCATGTGAAGTCCTGCCTACCAGGAGGCATGGAAGGCTCAAAAACCTTATAATGTGACAGTTGATTCCATTTTTTGTTGGTGACAGTGTAACCCAAGAGTTGAAGTTGAGTGATGTTGACCAGCTGCATTCCCTCTAGTTTCACTACTAAATTAGGGACAGCTAGTGCAGATAGCCTTTGAGTAGTTTTGTGTGAAATTCAAATAGAAAATTATTATGGACATTTTAAAAACATCATATAGAATAGGTATAGACATTTTACAGAATTTCAATAATTTTTTTATAGAATGACTATATTGCAGACATCATTTAGAATTGGTGAAGAATTTTTTATAGACATCTTTCAGAATTGCAGCAAACTTCTTTTTCTTTTACAGACATTTGAAATAAGAACAAAACCCTGTTATCTATATTTCTTTTGTATATTTTCTGATACACTTGTGATACATATTGTACAGATGTTCTGTACAATGGGCATAGATTTTTACAGAAATCCCAGTGAATGGCTATGATATTATAGAATGAATATAGACATACCATAGCCTCCTTAAAAAATTATTGTAAAACTTTTCACATGTAGCATACAGGATAGCTGTATGAGTACAGCCTTTCTAAAGACATCCTACAGCAATGATTCCCAACCACCAGTCTGCAATTAAAATTGTACAGATTCAAGAAATGAGCAATGTACAGTTTTAAAGAATTGAAAACTTGGAAAATTTTATTGAAATCAAAGTCTTTGATTGAGTTTTGTTTTTGTGTAATTAATAGCCCACAAAACTTGCATATATGATGGTACCTGTTTCTCACTCCACCCTACCTAGTGATTATAGACTAGTGAAATCATATAGAACAGCTAATGTTTTTACTACCATCGTACATAATGAGTTTAAACTTCCTACAGATGGATTAAAAAATTATTCTAATATTTTTACATGCGGAAAGATGCATCAACTGTGGTGATATATTAAATAGAGCTTATGAAAGTGCCCTATACAATGGTTATAGATTTCTTTACAGATATTCGTTTTAATGACAAAACTTTTCTGTATACTCTTTAGAGCAGCTAGAGAAATTCTCAGTTTTTTTAACAATAATTGAATTTTCAGGTACAGTATATAACTGTATACCACATGGAAACGATTTACTGCATATATTTTGTAAAAAAAACAAAACATATATTTTTAACATCTAATATTCAGTTAGCTTCAGTATAAAAACTAGAATTTCTACAGCAGTTATAGAATATACAAAAGTTTTTACAACATCTGTATTCAGTACTGAATTAAAGCATTGGCCACCTAGACTCGGACCTAGGGCCCTAATTCATAGAACTATCAGAATAAAAGCAACAGTGAGTTATTATTATTATTATCATTATTATTATTTCAAAATATTGCTTGGGCCTAGGACCGTACTAAACCTTAATCCAGCCCTGGCTGTATTAATTGTTTGAATCATTACTATAGAATCTCTAAATGTTGTGCAATCTTAAACCTCCATGAAATACATGTTGGCTAATAGCTATAGGGTGGCTGGAGTCACTTTGTAGGATATGAATGAAGAAAATCCTAATAGGTATACAATTCTAAAGCTACCTGAATTCTAATAGTGTATAAGCTGCAGGTTGGCCATAACAGTTGTAAAAGATGTATGTTGTAGCTTTAGCTATGTTTGATATAGCATCACAGTTGCTAAAGTTAGAATTAAAAACCAATGATATATCATCACAGTTCATATCTTTCAGCAACCATTAAAAATCATTGATATTCCATTACAGTTGGTATACTTTTCTGTACCACAGTCAGACATGAACTCTAGTGAATTTGGTAAAGAAAATACTAGAATGTGTCTGAGGCATCTGGACCCTTTAGAATGTTTATATTAACAGTATATAAGAGCAGATCAATACTCAGTTTCAAAGTATTCTGATACCAAATTTGCATACTTAATTTTCATTCGCCATTAATTTTTAGCTTGAAATATAAATGAAACAAACTTGTAATCCCCCTTTTTTTTCACAATCGGGTACTTTGCTGCATTGTGCTTAAAATGAACTGCTGTGCATCCTCACAAGCTGCTAGAGCAAGCTTAATAAAATCAAGTTATGAACTTTTTGAATGCTCTCACTCTTCATGCCTGTAAACATCAGTGATTCCTAAAGTACACACACTTCAAATACATTATCTTAGGTCATTTACTAAAATATCTCAAATAATATTCTTCAGTCTTTCAACTATCCCTTTATGTTTAGCCAATAATAACAAACTACTGAAAAATAACAAAGCAATAAACCCTACATACAATACAGCTGCATCCATTCCCTTAGCTGTTTTAGTATGTTTAATGCATCTCAAGAGGTAATACATATTTAACTGCAGTGTTTTGTAACAGTTAGAATATTTTCAAGAATTTTTAATATATTTCACCTATTAGTATATCTTTAGCTGTTCGTAATATACCATGACTGGTTGTATTACAGCTGCAGTATATGTTAAGTATTATTTTACAGTGTATGTAAATTTGGACAAAATCTCCTGCAAAATTCCAAAAATAGGTTTTTATTAGCATATTAACTTAGACATTTGACACGTTGGATAAATATTGATAGTATGAGTATTCTTGTGATGTTTTTATATCTGTTTAATAGAAATGAACCTGCCCCCCTAGTGGACAGTGGTATGTCTGCAGACTAACAATGCTAGAAACCAGGTTTCGATACCCGTGGTGGGCAGAGCGCAGATAGCGCATTGAGTAGCTTTGTGCTTAATTCCAAACAAACAAATAAATGAACCTCAGAATTACCACTTCACTTTTTAAACAAAGGTATCATCAGCATTTTCATTAATCCCCTAATTACTGCTGTAACATATAAAAACAGAATTAATCAATCTGATGGAATTTGTGGGTCTCTTCAGCAGTGAATGGTTAAAAGACAATTCTGTAATTTGTGGGTTAACATTTTATATCTCTTTAAAAGAAATTAATGTCTTAGTATATTCTTTCATTTCAAAATATATTGGGCAAACTGGCAAAAAAAACATTAATAAATTGAATGCAAAAAAACAACTGAGAGTGCTTTTGAATCTTATCTATTTAAACAAACAATATTGAAAAAGGCAATGCTGTAAAATGCAGATTTAGTGTGGTAAAAAACTACAAATGTGTATAAAACACATGTTGGAGTATAACAGTGGGCTTATCAAAGAAATAACCAACAGAAAAATTTTAAATCTTAGTACATTGCAAGGGGCCTCAGCAGCATGGGACTTAATCCTTTTAGTTAAGCTTGATATATTTTACATTTTATGTTTCTAATTAAGTTAATTATATTATCACAGGTGGTATATTTACATCATCACAATTAGTGTATATTTAACTTTGTTCAGTGATAAAATATTTTCAGGTATAATTAATATATTTGACGATTAGTTGTGCTATAACATTAGCTAAATTACAACTCAAAAAATTAATTTTGTTGAATTAGTGTAAATAAACCATTATCAAACCGAAAAAATGTGGATTTATTTTCCTTTTTTTTTTTCTACATGAAATAAGTATTACCCATTTAACTATTCTTTCTTCAGGTGATTGCTCCTGAGGAGAAGGGGACTGGATCTGTTGAGGCTATCCCTCCAGGAGAAGTTGTTTCAGCTTAGATTTCTGACATAACACCTTAAAATCTTTTTTCTTTAGCAATTAAAGTAGGTGAAATGGTATTTACATCAAATTCTTGATAAAACTTAGCACCAATGAGAGTTGTTGTTTTGTTTTTTTTTGCATCAATACTTATACTGTTTGGCTAAAATGTACATTTTTCAAAAGCAGTAACATCATGTTTGATAAAGAAACTCATTTGAAATGAGAGAGCTTTCTTACAAGTGAAATCAGAAATGAGTTTTTAGTCTGGAAGAGCTAATAATTTCAAGCAAATGGCATAAATGAGTTACTGTTATATAAGAGTACATGCTGGATTGTATTGCATATTGTTAGTGGAAACAGTTTTTTGTTCTTAAAAACTAAAAGATCAAAGAAAATTTAAAGCTTCCAGTTTTGTTTTGTGATCATACTTATCAAGCATATCATTATTAAGTCATAGGTAAATTATTTTGAAACTTTTTTTTTCACATTTAAAAAAGAATATCAAAATATTTTCCCAAAATAAGTTAATTCTGGAAGGCAGCTTGACATTCGTCATAGGAATCACTTGTGAAACATTTGTAATTGCAATAAAAGATTATTAGTTACATGTTTTATATTTATTTTGCCTAATTTTGAGACATTATTGAATTTAAGTAATAAAGCATTAATGGAAATTGTTTCTAAAGGATTTGAAAATTGTTCTACTACTTAACTCCATTAAATTTGACCACTTTTCCTATATTTATTATGCCAATAGTTGTTAATATATTTTGGTAAAACTTACCTCATAGTTTGCTCTCCAACAGAATATGTACTTTTTATTTCAAGATACTTGGTATTAAAGTTATCGATTAAAATAACCTTTCATTACCTGTGTAAAAACCAGAACTAATATTGAGTACTCCAAGAAAACTACCATATTTGATGATAATTTGATATTTTGTAGTTATTTTTTATGTACCACTATCAGAAAATGTCTACAATCTTTGAAACCATACATTTGTACTGCTAACTATGATGCTAAATAAACTGAACAAGTAACTTGATGTAGCGTATATTAAATTTTCTGTTCTATTTCTTTTTGTGCAAATAAGAGGTATGAGCAACCTGATCTGCTAAACTTTGAACTAGTATCAATTCTTATCTAGTGATGATATTTTATATTGATATTTGTTTCTTTTATTCATAGTTTTTTTTACCTCTTGCACTTGAAAAAATATATTCCCTTAAGTAGCTTCAGCTGAACCTTGTTTTTTTTTGGAGATGATAAATGTCATGATTTTTGGCATAGATAAAATGTATCTTTCAAAAGTATCTTTCTTGTATCTAAAATTATGTTTGTTTGCTGTGTCGTATAGCAAATCTTGTAGTTTTTATAATCTTTAAAAACCAATTAATAAGAAGCAGCAAATAGTAAGGGTTATTTGTATTTATATTTAATTCAAAGTTTCATACAAGCTCCATCCTTTCAAATAACCACATAAATTAGCATATGAAGTGTATGTTAATCATAGGTTTCTTACTTTATTATTGGACAGATGTTACAAAAACATTTCAACAACATCATATTACATTGAGAAATTATGTTCTAAATAATAGGTATTAATTGAGATAGGAATTTTTTATAAGTAAGCTGTAGATGAATAAACTGATAATGTAGTTCAAGGGATACTTGCAACACAGGAGTATCTATACAAGGTGGGTATGGTGTTTTATTAAATTTTGGTTTTTATTCGTAATAGGATATCTTTTAAAGGCTTAATGCAACAACTGACGTTCAAAATTCTACTTGAAGAGAAAAAATACAGTATTCTCTTGTCTTTCGATTAGTTCACTAACCTTAGAAAATTCAAGTTCATCAGTATCATCACAGGGAAGTTACTGGTTTAAACTACAGGAGTCTATTTTCGATGACGAGGAACTCACTTTAAGACTAATAATGGCTGGAGACGGCTTGAATGGGTAATGAATGGATGATGACAAAATCTTGTCAAAACGTTGTACATTTGCTGTTATGTTAAACTTATATTAAAGTTTTTCTTCATTACCCATTCAAGCTGTCTCCAGCCATTATACAGGAGTCTATGTTTTTAAGAAAAATAACATTTTGATTTGGGGTTTTTGAAAAGTTATATTTTCCTTTCTATAGTATTTGTCAAGAAAAAGTTATCACTTTAAAATATTTAATTTTTTATGTTCTTCATTTGTGTTTTATACTCACTATATGTATTTCAACATAACTTTGCATATTGTGACAGTGTATGCTATATTTATTATTTGTTACATGAGCCCTTGAGAAGGTTAATACTTGAATCTAGATGTTATATTGAAACTCCATTTCTAATGTTAAAACTGCACAACATGTACTTAGCTTTAATGGAGACGATTTAGAGAAATTTACTATAATTATATTCTCTTTTTAACTCAAACCATCTACATGGTAAATGTGTATTTATTTTTTGCAAAATAAAATAAGAATAGAAAGCTAATTAGTAAATTTGCATGTTGTACAACACATCTATTACTAAGTTTACAATAGTTTCATGAAAGCTTTTATTTTAAGTAATTAGATTAGGAAACACCTATTAACAATTGACAGATGTATCATGAGTCGTAACTCTTCTGCAACAAATACCTAATAACTAGATTAAATAATTAGTATTTGTAAAGTTATGATGTGTTAAAGAAATGTTAATAAAAGAAATTCAAATAACAAAACCATTTGAAATCAACCATTAAATTTTAGTTTGAGGCTCCTTCAAGACCAATTATAATCAGAATAAGCATGGGAACAAAGATACTGTTTGGTGATTGAAGACCAGCACATCATTTATAGATGTATAATAAACATGTTAAAAAGAAACCATATTGGTTTTGTCAAAGTTATCTCTTAAGAAATTTAACTTTGCTGTTATTTCTTAAAATATATGAACAATACATGAATAATGTAAAAACTAAAATTCACAATGATCTGTTTTAAATCAAGTTAGACATTTTTCTCATCAGTTTACAGGATAACATGTTAAAGCTGGAGTTTGGTGTAAAGCGTATGTGTTTCCATTTTATTTTCCATAATGTGCATATGATCTTACTCTCTTTCTCTAATGCTTATATCTAAAAACCACATTTTAACACAAAAAGGCTTTTCTATCTTTTAATCTGTCTTAGTATTTGTACCATTAGGGTTTTCATTTGTATCATGAGATACAAATTTTTCACCAGCATAAGCATATGTAAATTGCTTAATTTTTTCATCTTCAGGAAGGTTTTGATACTAGATTTGCTGCAAAATTCCTGTCCAACTAAATTAAGCTTTACAGTTGTTAACATACAGTAGTTGGCAGGTGTATGTAATAGATATTTTACAGTTTAATTTGTATAAAGAATGGTTATTTAAAATTTTGAACAATTTATAAACTAAGATAGTTAACAGTTTAATTGAAAAGATGTATTATGATGCAATATCTATTTCCAATATGACTTTGTTTACGCAGTTTTGATAGTCGTAGACATGGCTCTAACTGGCAGTTACATATAAAATGCAATAGAGTGGCTTACCATATTAACCATTAAGTTCCCTTGATGCTTTGATGGTTGTCTAGGCTAAGTAACAGTTGTCATCCTGACTCAAACATGAGTTCAGCATGTTCATGTGCAGTTGATGTAATATAGTGAACTGTATACAATGTTCAGTTTTGTATATATATTATTGTATTGTTTTAGCAGTTATCTGACTTAAGCACACAAGATTAATGCAATAAGGCAGGTAACCTAGTGTCAACACATAAGGCCTCTAACCTCACTGTATTAGCTTCTATTACCATCAGTGTCATTTTGGTAACTATGAGTAATTTTCATCAGCTGTGTTACTTGTTTACATGGACTTAACCTATTTTGAATGAACTCTTGAAACCAAACAGTATCTGAATGCTAAAACAATAGCAGAAATTTAAAATAAAATCATAGCTTGGCATGCCCAGCAGAATAAGTAAATAATGAGAAATCTGGAGGGAAAACCTACCATAATGAATTAGAATATTGATTTGTAAATAAAATTCAAGTACTATGTATTAGGCTAGCTAAGTGGAATAAGAACTGTGAATTACAGTTTATTCTCAATCACATTTACATATGTACCCATCTAGTCTTCAGTAAAAATATACCAGAAGAACAAAAACTCTCACTGCAGGATGTATTTCCCTTTTTTTTTAGCGGCCTTGGATCATTCTGTTATTATTGGATGTCAGAGATGTGTTTGTGATTGGTGACCATAATAATGAAAATTTTCATTGCTCCAATTTTGACTTGACTTGTATTCCCTATTGTAATATTTTTCTTTATGATCATTAGCAAAATTTCTTTCGTTTTCACCATTGAAACATCTTTCATTTCTGAGTAACTTTTCCTGGAAGGTTTCACAGAGATTATCATTCTTCTGGGTCAGGACGTGAATCAGAATCAACTGCCTTAATGATATATTCCATATTTGGTTGAACAATTTTTACTTTGCTTCAGACTCATATTCCTCCTGAATTACATCAAGTTACTGACCACATGAAAATGAATCTGTTGTTTCATGAGGTATTTCTGAAAAATGCAGCTAAGCTGGGCATTCTACATCTCGGAAAGTATATAATAATGACTTTATGTTAAATTACTCGTTGTTGTAGAGCTGGGCAGTAATCTTCAATTGTGTCTGATATGTTTCCTTTCATTCCTTTTCAGTATTATTATTACTTGGTGAGTCTAGTTAGTGTACTTATAGACCCTTGTAGATATAAGAGGTTGTTCATGTATTTTCTGGTGGGTATGTCTGTCAAACATGGTATTGAACTTTAGAATAGACCACTCTGCCTATCAGTTTTGTTTTGCTTTTTTGTGCTATTTCAGTTAATGAATCTGTAGCTTCTGTACTTCTCTATCTTGTCATGCAGTCTTTTCATAGTTCCTTGACAGCACTTTATACATTATATTGTAATAGTGATGGTTTTAGCATCCATGGCTTTCTCTACCATTTCTTTCATAATTTTTTTTTCTATTCTTGATAATTCTTCTTTGAAATCATGTTTGAGTTTTTTTCAAGGTTTCAGATCAATAGGTTTTTGTATATCATTTTGATTTTATCTTTTCGTTGTTTTTTATTTGTGGTTATGTTATTTGGCATTTTCTTCCAGATATCATGTTATTAAATTTCTAAATTGTTTTTAATTCCCATGTGACATTGCAGACTTTTATTCATTTTTAACTGCTAACTCATTCTTGACACAAGTGTTACATACCTTTATCATTCATTTCTGACAATCTTTCTCCTTCAAGACTAGGAACTATACTTCTGTTCAACTTGCCACATAAGGTTGGTAATGATGTCATCACCATCTTTCTCTAGCTGAAGGATCCAGTCCCACTAGTAGCTATCTAGAAAGTGTCTTGTATAGTAACAGATGAGGTCATAGATGTAGTAATGGAGACAGTGGCTGAAATTATGTTGGTCAGAATGGACAAATGTTACAATTGAAATACCATGTCAACCCACCTCTGATCAGTAAAAAGTTTGATCATCAACTTGTAGTTAAATTCTTTAACTGGTTGCAACACCACTTTATTTAAGGATATATTTTGATTGAGAAAGAGGTGAATCTACTAGTATAGTATCCTTACATCAGTATTTGAAACTCTGTTGCTGGATTCACAGGCTCTGACCACTGCTTCTGACCCTGGGAAGTGGACAGGAGACACTTATCACAAGGCTAACATTACAACACTAATTTCTCACTATTACAAGTTAAATACTTTCATGTGGCCAACCAAGACTATCCCATCCACTATACTAAACTCTAGAATTAAAGTCAAATAAATGTTCAAAGTCAGCCCTTATCACTCAAATATTTATCAAGCCTATCCTTAAACTTTTCAATTAACTGCATCTACCACATCTTAAAGCAGCCCATTCCAAAGGCCAACCATGATGTTAAAAAAATATAGCTTTCTTAGCTGAAGATGACTTCTGTTGTGCCAGAATTTATATTTGTGTGTCCCTAATCCTACTCTTCTCACCATTAAATATGAACAAAGATGATGCATGAATACTTTCAGATCTCTTTGTAATCTTAAACATCTCAATCAGAACCCCTTTAGTTCTTTTTCTCATGTGAAAACAGTTTCAAAGATCTCAACCTATCCTCATATGACAACCTTTTCATTCTAATAGCCCTCCTCTGAACCCTTTCCAACAATTCAATATCCTTCCTAAGGTAAGGAGCCCAAGGTTGAACACAACGCTCAATATGTGCTCTAACCAATAACATTATAACATCTTCAGGCTTGTATTCAATATTCCTGTAGATTCAACCTATTTACTCTACCAGTATTATCAGTACATTGCTT